AAATCAAATGGGAAAATCTATAGACTAGGAAATACCATACTTTTGTAAAAAGAAAAACTGCACTTACTGTATTTACACACATACTATGCTAAAGAAGGTGATTTGAAAGGGGAGCAATGGCCTGGGAGGTAGCTCAGCAGCATAAGCACCTGGCTGGTAAGGGTAAGGTCCTGAGTTTGATCCCTGGTACCAAAGAAAAAAAAAAGAAAAAGAAAGAACAAGTGAATTCCTGGAGAAGCTGTTTGTTCATTATTATGCCTACTTGAAACAAATGAAAAGAATCATTTGTTTGTTTATTTTTTGAGATGGTCTCACTATGTAGTGCAGGCTGGTCTTAAACTTACTATACAGCCCAGACTGGCCTTGAACTCACTGATCCACCTGCCTCAGCCTCCAAAGTATTGGGATTACAGGTGTACAGGACCACACCCAGTTGTTATTATTTTTTAAAAGATATAAAAATGTTAACATTTTAAACACCAGAAATGGCTGCAATTTTAACTTACTTTGTACCATCTTGGAGAGTAAGCTATTTATGTTGACACAACGATCTCATAAATCTGCTATTATAAAATTTAAAAATACCCCATTTTAGTAGAGTGGCATTCCAATACAAGAAAAAATATATATGCATTTATATAACCAAGCACATCTATACAATACTGAGAATATAAATGTATTACTATGCAATATAAAATAAATCTAGACATATCTTTTTGAACCAGAAAGGTTTTCATACCAGGTTCATGAGCTAGCGCATGTTGAAGAACTTTTTCTGCTTTTTCATACAGCTTCAGTTTTAATAAAAGCTCAGCCAGGTCATAGCAAAGATAATTCTGTTGTCCACTTTTCAGAGCAGCCTCATAGTAAGTGATTGCCTAAACAAAATACATTTCGTTTAGGAAAAAGGTTCTGAGACTTGGCATCCATGCACAGGTATTTTAAATATCCCAGAATTAAAGCTCTCTTGTAACTTTTTGGATGAATCCCATACAAACCTGCACCGTCAGTTCAGTACCGTATACCACTTTTCTTGTAGAATCAAGCATAACACAACTAACATTTCTTAAAATAAGTGGCTGATGAACAGTATTTGACAAGCACTTTTTACAGACTTTATTTTACCTATACCTTATTTTTATTTTTTGACTTTTATTAGTTTATGTTTGAAGTGCAGAAAGACCAGAGAGCCCTATAAAAGCATGCAATTTGTTATTTGGTGTATGATGTACTTAATAATCAACAGGAATATGGCAAAAGAGTATCAGTTAAAGGAAAATATATTTCTACTAGGGAAAAATAAACCCTTGAAAGCATCTGGCTTACCAAATTGGTTCAACAAAAGGACATTATGCCTTACACAATGTAAGAAAAAACGAAGTTTCTGAGGCATAGTGGTACGTGTCTACAAGCTTAGCACTCTAGAAAGGTGATCTCGTCATTTGATCCTCCTCTGGGCAACCAGGTGAATTAGTGAGGCCCTGCCTCAAAATTAAACAAAACAAAACCATAAAAGGGTAGGATGTATGTAGCTCCGTGCAAAGTCCCTGAGTTCAATTCCCTGTGCCACATTCACATACAAATTACTTTCTGGTAATAATTATGATGGAAAAAGAAGCTGGACATGAACACCAGTGTCTAGTTCTCACAAAATGAAGCAGTGGAGAATGTGAGATGCTAAGAAAGCCTCTAACATGAACCCCAGTGAATGAATACAAATTTGGAGTTTACAACCATGAAAGATAGAAATGGTGCTTGCTGACGACCACTTTAGCGCAGGATTCTATCAATTTGACCCAATAGACAAACTCAGTAGTATTTACCTTTGAATAGTTGTGAGTTTTGACTAATGCTTTCCCAATTTTGCTTGCTAATGTTCCATCTTTTGGGTTCAAATTTAATGCTTGTTCATATGCTTCTATAGCTTCTTCAGGCTAAAATAGTCAAATACAAACACCCAAAAACAGGTGAAGTTGATCCCACTGAATGGCATTTCTACAGGCAAGCTCTATATCTGGAATACTTTATATATGAAAATAAGTTCATATTGAAATTTGAGAATCTTAGCAATTGAGAAAGGTGACAGTAAGTAGGGTAGATATGATACCATCATGCTGATTGGGTACTTAAGCCATATAAATAACAATACAGATCTAAGAAACAGCACCCTGATTTTCAATTTCAACTACCTATTATAAAGCCAGTATTTCTCTGGCTTTTAGGTAGACCTGGTACTTTGTAAACTCTTAACATGACTATAAAATTGAAATAATTACTTTTCTAATACTGGTTGTGGGCCAATTACATGAAATATTGTATATTGAAAGTAGCACTGTTCTTCAAATAACTGGTTCCAAGTAGGAACATTCAGGATCTACAAAGGTCATCCTTCTGTTTAAAAGAGATCCCTAATACGCTTCTAGGATCATCTCTATTTCAAATAACCATCTTGCTGAATTATTGAATTACAATATTAAAAAAGAAAAATTGATTGTACAGCTATCCCTTTTTATTGTAGTAATTTTCAAACATTAAATATTATAGGAAAGCCAAATTCATTTTAATAGGTTATACTAATCATAAAGAGTTTCTGAAAAAATATAAGTTAAGTAGCATCAGAAATTTTACCTCTTGAATATTCATATATGCATCACCAAGAAGAAGAAAAGATCGAGGGCTGGGCATTCTTTCAGCAATTTCTCTGAAAATCAGACCAACTCTACTTAGTACACTGAGTACAAATATCTTTTTGTAAACTAATAAAATGAAACATGAGTATATGTAATTTCAATTAAACAACTTCCTTCAGAGTATCTTCTACACATTTGATAGTCTTATCTGAAAAAAACCATTCTCTACTCACATTCAGACTGTTTTAATCATTTTGCTATTGAATATTTTCATTTTCTGAAAGGAAGTAACAAGAGTACAGACAAACATTACTCAGAAGTATTACTGATGGGGGAATGAATTTTATTGTCCTATGCAACCTGAACTCTATCTAATATGCATGGCATAACTTATATGACATGAATCACCTTTAAGAATACAAAATCTCTACCTCAACATTTACTGCTTATTTACCTGAAAAATTAAATTATTAAAAGGTCAAGATACCAGTTATTTGAAGAACAGTGCTACTTTTAATATACAATATTTCATGTAATTGGCCCACAACCAGTATTAGAAAAGTAATTATTATTTCAATTTTATAGTCATGTTAAAAGAGTTTACAAAGTACCAGATCTACCGAAAATAAAAATTCATGTTTTTAACTGGCATGGTGCATCCAAACATTGTTTTTTTTCCCCCATGTTTTACATTACTAGAGCTAACTGTGCTGATATTTTGAAAATATTTTAGAAAACATGATCCAGAAACTATAGCTCAGCCATCTGAACATTATGTGCTGCCCAGTTTCACTGAATCACTCAGCACTTACAAAAAAACATGAGCACATTTCGAGACTAGGTATTTATACAGCACAGGTGGGCCAACAGTGAAGCAATGTACCCACATTTACTGTGTTCTTAAGAGCTAAACCTTTTTTCCTACCTGGAGTGACATGCAGCATGTGCTTGTATGTTACACTTTGGGGAGAGTGCCTGTGTGTGATGCCTCAATAAGTACTAGAGTTATCAGTGCGTCACAGCTTCTAAAGCTTCTGATCTGTCACCAAGGAATATTTCTAATGCGTACCTTACTTGGGAAACTGTAATTTTCTTTTCCTAACACTATTATTGTGCATATTAAACATGCCTGTTTGTTCCTTGGATAACTGTTATGTTACACGATCTTAACAATACATGTAAGGGCTAGGGAGATGGCTCAGTAGATTCAAGCTGAACATTATGTGCTGCACAAGGGTCTGAGTTCAATCCCCAGTTCTGTCAAAGAAAAAAAAAAACCAAAACCCACATATAATCCTTTCTGTTTTTCCAAGTAGGAACATTCAGGGTCTACAAAAGTCATATGACAAAGAGAGCTGAAGAATCAGAGCGAGCCACACTTTGAAGGAGTCATAACCATATTTCAGGAAGAGGAAGTAACTTGGATGGGAGTAGGGTGTGGTGGTGGAGAAAGACTCAAGGAAAGGGTCTATAAATTATCTGTAAAGAAGGTGACAGGAAGACAAAAAACAAACTTGGGGATTCAGTTTAAGAGGTGGATGTGTCATGATATAATGGTTGAAATACCTACCTGTAACAAGTGATGTATAATATTTTCTCTTTTCTATGCTTCAGATAAATATCGGCGATTTTTTCTTTGGCCTCTATGAAGTAAGGCTGCTCGGCCGTGACATTTCGAAGAACGCTTAAAGCCCGTTCTACATCTCCTTGGGCCAGAGCGAGGTCTGCATTAGCAATAGTGACTCGTAATTCTTCAGATGTGCCAGAAAACTCACAGATGGCATCTTGTAAAACCTTTGCTGCCTCATGCTGTAAAGACATTAAATTATAATTTTTTTAAAGCATTCAACAGTTTATACTAGAAAGAATGATGTCCTTATAAAACCATAAATAAAATATGCTGTTGCAGTTATGGTGTTTATAAAAGCAGATTTTCTGAAATGTATAAATATTTAAAACTAATCTAAAGGTAGAGATTAGTGTTGGATGAACTACAAGTATGAGGCTACAAGTATTTGGCAGTTGAATAAATTCTTTCACATCTCAAGCACAGCAGTTGCTACATACTATTATAATTTAGTGAACATTTATTGGTAAGTCATAGTGGTACGCAGCATCAGTCCACTCAGTGTGCACACTCCCCCCAGCACAGCTATTCTCAGCCCCACCTTCCACCAAGGACCCTACCCTGAGGTGTAGGGAGTGGAAAGGCTAACAAGGGATAGAACCAGAGGCAAACTTAGGCTTCCACCCTGACGGGATCCAGGCAATGTTCACCCAGTGCACACATGGGGACTGAACTCAGACCTTGCGTTTGCCAGGCAGGTGCTTATGCCACTGAGCTATTTCCCCGGCCCTATGAAGGTGGCATTTCTTAACAGAATATTTTATTCTTTCCACAGAAAAACATTTTGTTATATTTCACATGAAAATTTTATCTCATTTAAGATTCATGAATTAAAGACTATGAACTAAAACATATGAACACATGGATTTTCAATAATTTGCTGAAATTTTTTTCTTTCTGTATTTTAGGGAAAAGGGTCTACAGGGTGTTCAGGGGTTTCACTACTCAATCAGACTCGGAGCTATTCTTCTGTTTACAGCCTCCCAAGTGCTGGGATTACAGGTGTGCGCCACCACATCCAGTCTCAATCCCTGTCTCCCCATGCCCTGGGCAGGACCAAGGATCAAACCCCCAGACCTTGCGCCTGCTTGCAGGCGCTTTAATCTGCTAAGCTACTTGGCCAGCCCTTGCTGAAATATTTTTAAAGTGTCTCATTTCATGGTTATTTCTTTCCTGTTGTTTTTCTTTTTTTTTTTTGGTCTTTTTAAGACAGGGTCTCACTATGTAGTCCAGGCTGGCCTCCACCTCAGTGATCCTCCTGCCTCAGCCTTCCAGTGCTTAGATTACTGGCATTTGCCACCACACCCAGAGCTTCATGTTATTTCTTTATCAGAGCTAGCCATCCAGTACTTCTTTTGTTTTTTCCAGTATTGGATATGATCATTTTATTCTAATGAAACTTGTGTGTACATGCTATGCATGCAGTCCTTTTAGGAATTCACAAAATTATGACTCCTTTACATTATTATCGTCATGGTATAATCATAGCCTATAGTATTACACTTTATCGTAGCCAACATAAGCACACTGAAACCTAAAGTTGTCTGGACCAATTATACTTAGCTTTTAGGGGCTTATAGACAAAGCATGTTTTACTACAAAGTAACGAAAAATATACTTCCAACATTTTACCAGGTGATCAAGGAAATAATTTTCATTTTCTACTAACAGCAAAGCTCACCTCTGAGCAATTGAATTAAAACTGAATTTACCTGTTCTCCATTTAAGCGGTGAACGTCCACTAATTCAAGAAAAATTGATGAACGATGGCCCATGTCAACTTCAGTTTTTCTGTATTTTGATTTTGAAGACACTCCAGTTCTCCTCATTCCTGGTAAATTCATTGCCATGTGCAGAGTTTTAATTGCTTCTGTTATTTCTCCCATTTTCTTTTGTGACTGAGCTTTTATCAGATGATACAAAGGGTACTCTCTCACCTAAAAAAATTTAAAGTAATACGTCTCTGGTATGCCTGTAAGAGTGGCTCCCTTGTGATTGTAGGCATGTAGTCTGTTTCTGTCCCCTAACTTCCCAATCCTTCATCATAATACATCAACTCAAGGAAACCACCGCTGCCTAGCACCTTACTGAATGACAAAGAGGTCAACTGGGTATTTTTACTATAATATAAGCAGAAGCAGCAGCTTTACACACCTGGCAAATAAATGCATTCTAAAAAATTATTTGAATTTTTAGGAAAGAAATTTTCTTATGTGTGACTTCCAGTACAGATTCAGTTCTTAGATTACTAAAAACATAGTTCTCCTTTATTTTAAACATTAAACATTTTAGGGTGCTGTGCTTTCATCCAATATTTTCTCTACTTTTTCTTGCTAACAGTACCCATATATACAGAAAACATAAGGCAATGGCAAACCAAGTGGGAGAAAAAAGCTGAAGGGAAGGAGATAGTTCTAGTCTGGTGCTGCGGCGGCCGCCAGTCCTCCAAGGCCCTGTGTTCCCTGTAGAACTGTGTCAGTACTGCTGCTGAGCCCGTGGAAGCTGCCACTCACTGGGTGGTCTGTGGTTTCCTAGCACTGGAATATAACAGGCCCTCATCCTGACATTCACTGTCCTGTGAAGCAGGCAATAATTTCTGCCAATGCTGCTTAGAACCCAAAGATCTAGTCCACTTACAGGTTCACCCATGACGGCTCCAGATCTTATGAAGCAAAACCAAAGTTTGAGGAGCTATGATTAGAACTCATTCAGGAAGATCCTAAGTCTAGCGTTCTCCCTAACACTGAAAGAAAATATCCAAGATATCTCAAACAGAAATATATTGCGATTATATTCTCAAACTACACAATAACTTTCAAAACACCTACATATTCTATAACAATGGATATAAAAAATTAGTAAAAACAAAGATGCAAGAAAGAAATGGATAATATGATTTATTCCTTTATGTAAAATATTTGGGATAATTTTCTGTGACTTAGTATTATTTTCACATGTGTCCTTTATTTAACTCTCATAGGGTAGCATTATATACATTTTATGAAAAGAAAACTTATTCCACCAGAGAAATAAATGCAAAGACCAGACATCTGTCTCAGATCTTTTATTGCCCACTTTGTTCACTTGATTCACTCATTTAGAGACCTGGTCTCCCTATGCTGCCAGAATGACCTCTAACTAAATGAACCTTTTGCCTCATCTTGCTAAATCACTAGCAGGACTGCCCTTAACACTTTAGGGTTTTTTCTTTTGCCAGTTCATATAGCTTTTAATTACATCAAAAGTACCACCATTTTTTTCCTATTACTGCTCATAAGTTCAAAATTCTTTCTGTTAAAATGTACTTTTTAGCAAACTAGGTATAAAATAGTTGAAGATTTTGATCCCTCACTAAGGCATCAATCAAGTTGAAATGTCTTAAGTTACTTGACTGTGAAATACTTACATTAAAATTATAGCTCAGGCAAAGTTCAAGAGACTGAGAACACAATTTGAACTTTTCTTGAGACAAATAAACCTGAGCCATCAGGAGATGAGCATCAGCATAAGCGGGGCTGTGATCTAGGCAATGCTGGAGGTTACTAAATGCTGCTTCAGTATTACCTAGAGAGGGAAACACAGTTATACATCAGATGACTGAGAGAGAACAGTGCCTCATTTGCAGACTGTTCTGCTTAAATGAGGAATCCTCTGTTCATAGGCCATGGTTTCATTCCTACGTGGATTTGTAAGCTTTCTTCCAGGCCACATAAAAAATGGACCTCAAAGTCAGAAACCCTTGATCACAATTAGCAAACCAGGTGAACAGGAGTGGGTAAGAGTCAAGCTCCAGCACTGCTGACAGCCGCATGAATGCACCTTTATTTTTCTTGTTTCTTTTCTTTTTTCTATTTGGTACAGTGTCTCACTACACAGCTTATACTTGTAGTGATCCTCCTGGTTTCAGCCTCCCCCGTGCTGGGATTACAGGCATGTGCCACCATGCCTGGACTCTCTTGCTGCTCAGGGCGCCCAGGGGCAGCATGTGGTGCCAGATATAAACTCTGGTCCCTGGGCTTGCCTAAGAAGGTGCTAGCCCGCTGAGCTATCCTGCCAGCCCTATTTTCCTTGTTAAAAAGGTTTATTTATAATTTCATTACAGTACATTGCATGAAATATAGATAGCTAAAATTCCATACTGTCATTTATATTAACAGAGAGGATATAATCTAATAATCATTCTTATCCAGGAACTTTATTATTATATATAAAATAACCAAAAAGCATGAGGACACTTCTAGAGATACATACGTGTAAGTCCCAGATTTCAAATGTCTTTAAGTATCAGCTGAAATACCAAATGTTTTAGGAAACATCAGCTATTTATCTGTTTTAAAATAGAATAAAATAATTCAGATTAATGTGACAGGAATGGTGGGGTTGATTTGGGAGCAGCAGGAGGAGGCTCTTCAGAGAATAAATATCACAGATTCTCTGTCCTACAAAGTTCTCATGATGCTAAGGCCCATGATGGACATTTAGCCCTCTCATAAACTGGCCTTAGCTAAGTACATGTAGGTCCACTCTCCATTAAACCTTGCTAAGTAATGTGGGAAAAAGAGGTCCTGAATTATTCTCAGTTCAATGACACTGCTTATCTTCCTTATGTTAACAACAGAAGAAACAAAGCTTGAAGTCTTGAAGTCTGAGCTTCTTAGTTCCCAAGGGAACTAATGATAAGGGAAATCCACTGAAACAGAAAGTACTTCTTAGAATAGAGGATTAATGAACTAATACATCACAACAACTCAGTAAATAAACGTCAAAGTCTAACAACTAATCATCCAGCATAATTAACAGTGGAGTATTTTATTGTGATGCAATGCAATACTTAGAACTGTGCAAGCAAAAAACCATCAAAAGGCTAACCATGATAAATTGGAGTGTGTGAAAGTTGTCAGAATCAATAGTGCACGTGTGCAGTCCTAACCAAAAGACAATAGTAAAATTAATAAAATAATAAGTGCCAATAGCCAATATTAATAATATTAATAAGCCTAAGGAGGGTGCCCTTGCACATGATTGATACTCTGAAGGCTCCTCATACATGATTTACCTTACAACAGAAACTATTTTAAGAGTGCTAAGAGTAGTGATACTAGAGTATTTTAAGAGATGAAATAAGCTTTTGCGACCATCTTCTTTTTTTTTTTAAAGTTAAACTGGAATTCAAAAAATAGTAAAGACAACCTCTTAACTTCTTCATCTGAAAGAATAATTATGAGAATTCATTTGAGTTGGTATTCTCGGTTCTGTTAAAAATCTGTATTTTTAGCTGGGCATGGGGGGACCATCACTCAGAAGGGTGAGGCAGGAGGATCACTGCAAGTTCTATGCCAGCCTCAGCTACACAATGAGTTCAAGGCTAGCCTGAACTGTATAAAAAGAACTTGTCTCAAAAAAACTCCCACCCCCCCAAAAAAAAAGTTAGAAACTCCCATATTTTTAAAGACATCACAAAGAAATTTAAATTTTGATCTTCAAGGCACACAGACTCTTGGTCGTATAAAAGAATTAAGACTCAACAGGAAACTACTGTAGGTGACTTTCTGAAGTTAGTTTATTTTGCATAGTATTCAACTAAATGGCATGATGAGCGGTTGTCAGGGCACGGAAATCATCTGCAGCTTTCTGTGCCCTAGAAAGCACACAACCAGGTTTATATTCTTTAGCCACAACAAGGATTCCCATTAGGACAGCTCACAAGAAGCCGAAACATGGTAAGCACTGATTTCGATATCCCTGTAAGTCAACAAACACAGTTATGCCTGCAATTTTTTATTATCAATCCCAAGCAGACAGAGAGCATCTTATTTTTTTTTAAGTGACATAACTACATTTTTTCAGAAACTCACTTGAGTTACAAAATTTAGAGTAAGATTTTAGAAATTAGCTTTACAATTTTATTTTGGATAAAAATCACTCATCTGTTCACAAAATGTGTATTTATGTAACTGTTTTCCATATAGATGGAGTGCTTCAATTATTTATATTTTCTTTTCAGCAACATCAGAATCCAGGGTTATTTTAAGTTTTTAAGGCTTACTGTACCTGACAAATACTTCACTTTTGCTAGCAGGAAGAAAGCTTGCAGAAGACCTGGTACGGTTCTCACTATGATCTCTAGGACCCACATACAACGTCTGAGGAAGGGAGCCAGTGGTTGCCCTGGACTTGTAGCCTAAACAAAGCAAATCGGAAGATCATTTTATAAACTTACAACAGTGTTAAGGCAAACTTAAACACATTAACTGTATTGTGACTATCCAAACTGTTTCTGAAATTTCTCATTTTATTTATTTCATTATCACTTTTACTATAACTGGAGTAATAATTATCTCCCTGGAAATCTATGGAGAGATTATTCAAATAGTGGCCTTTGTTCAGTGAAATAATTTTGAAATGGAATTATGAATTTTAAAATATGAAAGGAGCATATCTAATAAAGTGTTTTATCAAAGAAACATCTGTTCAAGGGAAAGATAATGGAGGGATGGAGTTTCTTGTTAAAATTGATAGCAGTAAAGTAGAGAATGTTCACTGTCCTTTTAGACCTGCCTTATGACTTACTCAATTCAATCACTTGACCCCCCTGGGATGCTACAAGGTCAATTTGTAAAGAATTTCACTTTTTTTGCAGGCTGTAATGAGAAGATAGAACACTCAGGTATACTATGGCAAATGCCTTGTACCTCCACTTGCCTCATTTTTATGTCATACTCAGCCTAACCCTTATAATTATTCTATAATAGTTTCCTATCTAATTTAGCTTCTTTTATAGAAATAATGGTCTTTCAGGAGACTAAAAAATCAGAATTTGTTATTTTTTGTGTAGTAACAGTAAATTCTATAAACTGTACTTATTTTCTCAGAAGAACTGAAGGCAGTGCAAGTATAAATGATGGCTAAGGTTTTGATGTTCCTTGTCACCTGCTAAGAATGAGAACTATCATTTTTACTGTAAACAGCTTCCATGTGCAACGACAGAAAAAAAAACATGTGGACAATCCTTAAGATTACATTTATTCAATTAAAATTCAAGAGAAAACTATCTCTAAATAAAATAACTAGGAACATGTTAAGCTGAAGAGATAATTCTGTCTACTAGTACTTCCCCCATGAAAGCAACAGTACAAATGTGGACTACAATGCTGATAAATACATATGGGGATAGGCCTGCAAGATAGCTCAGCAGACTAAGTATCCGCTTAGGCAAGCAGAAGGACCAGGGTTTGAGCCTCAGGCTGCGCCGCCCCTACCCCGGGCATGGTGGTGCATTTCTATAATCCCAGAGCTGGGGAGGCTGAAAACAGGAGGATCACTGGGGAGTTTAAGGTGAGCAGTGAGACCCTGTATAAAATAAATAAATACGT